GAAGTGACCTGGCGGGTGTACACAGTGCAGCCAAAAAAAGCGTTTGTGTTGCGTCAGGAGACGCAGCCTGGGAGGGGCTGTGCCAGAGCACACAGGGGTCACGGCCACCAGCAGATGCTGCCTGATAAATGCCAAGCAGTGCCAGAGCTGCCTCTGTCCCCATCACAGAGGAGGAGATGGGTGGCCAGGAGTGACAACAGGGCTGTGCATAAACTCTGTGGGCTTTGCTTGTACTTGCCACAGCAGCTCTCTCCTTCCAGTGGCTCTGGGCATCTCCTTTCAGAAACTATGAATGAAATGAAAGGATGTTCAGAAAATACAGGAGAAATCCCCTGTCATCCTCATGCCCACCAAAGGCTCTACCCAATCCATTTTCTGTCACTGGCCAAAGGCTGCTGATAAAATAGAAGCCACCATTGTCACACAAGGAGAGCAGAGCCCAGTCCTGGTCCTTGTGGTCCAGCCCTTCCCACATGGGCCTGTGAGCAGATTGAGCATGTCAAGGGGCAACTTCATGCCCAGGAACCTGGGGCAGCCTCATCTCCAGGAACCTGGAGCTCTCCGAGCCCTCAGCTGCAAGATCAGCCAGCCAGAGCCCCTAATGTGAAATGCATGTTGGTTAAACCAAGAGATGACTGTAAAAAATAAGGGTCAGATTTCCCTGGCTGCAAAGCCTCCCACGTTACCCCAAGCCCTCTGGTTTCCTGCCTTCTGGCATGTGTGACCTTCTACACAGTAACCCCAGTGCTCCCCACAGAGCCCAGGATGGCAGGAAGAATAAAGGGGAGTGAAGCCTTGCATAACATTCATCCAGGCTCGCCAGGAAAATAAGGAGACTGCTTGGAATGAGAGCATTGCTGGCCTTTTATGTCAGCTTTTCAAACATGAAAATGGGTCTCCCTGCTCTGGGCTAACGGGCCCCAGGACCTTCCCCAGGTGAGAGGAACCCCAGTGTGGCTGCAACCCTCACCCATCCTCTGTAACCTCTGAAGATACAGCAACCTGGGTAACAACATCTTGCCTCACTTGGGCTGCCAGGGTTTGCCCAGGGCTTCCCTGTGCGGGCAGGGAAAGCCAGGGGAGACAGGGTGGGGCTGGAGCCCAGGACATGGCTGAGCTCCCCATGGAGATGCTTCTCACTGGGATGGATGGCTGTGGCAAATTTTCCGTCTTTCTGACTGACCCTGCTTGGAAATTCACCTCTGCTCAAGAAGCAGCCAAGAGCAGAAGTTTTGGGTGTCCTCTGACAGGGTGAGGGGGTGCTCCCAGCCCTGGGAAAAGATGAGGCTGTGCTCTGGCAGGCTGTGCCACCCTGCTGTCCCCTCGGGGCAGTGAAGGTTGAGGTACAACCAGCACTGTACTCCACAGTGGAGAGTGACAAAGCTTGAGGCAGCAAACTTGCTTGGGAAGAGGGGGAATAGGTGACCTTGGGGGTGGGGGTTTAGCAAGCTGGGCCAGACCAGGGTGGCAGTGGATGAATCCTTGCAGGACCAGGTGTGAGCAGAGACTGAGGGAGATGGGGTAACCCCTCTGCCCGGGAATGCTGCCAGTGCCTGTCTGGGTGAGACGTGCTGCTGTGCCCAGGGGGGGCCAGTAGGAAATCCGTGCTGGATTTTTCCCGTCCTCTGCTGAATCAGAATTAGGTTCCTCTGGAAAACCTAAATTTATCCTTGAAGCTGTGATGATGTATTTCACACATCCTACTCCCTTTCTCTGGAGTCTCCCTTACGTGTGCAATTTCTAACAACAAAGCAGCGCTGTGAGCAACCTTCCTGTAAATCATCCAGCCCTCCCTCCTGGTGATGAGATTTGGGGCTGAGCAGCTGCAGGAATTTGTGTGAGCTCAGACCAGGCTGAACTTTCACACAGTGACCTGCCAGGTCAGCCTGGGAAGGAGCGGGGTGGGGAAAGGCAGGGAACAAAGACACTGCCCACAGCCCACTGCTCCCAGCCTGATGTGCATGGGATGGGATGGGGATGGGGGGGTTCCACCACGTATGTGGGGGCTGTTTGAAGGAGCTACTTGTGAAGTGTGCTGGTGATGCTGCCTTTCCTGCATGTCTGAGCTGGTGGGACTGCATGGAAGAAGGGATAGGGATGGATATAGTGATAGGAATAAGGATAGGGATTGGAGGATGGGATTGGGAGCATCCCTTGGTTCCTGAGAGAATCTCCACAGAAAACAACCTCCTCTGGACTCTGCTGTTCCCTGCCCAAGGGCTGACCCAGACACCCACAGAGAGCCCTGAGAGCCATTGCTGTGCCCTGCTGGTCCCTGTGCTGCTCTGGGTCCCAAGGCACTGGGCTGGGGCAGTGCCCTCATGGGGTCCCTCCTGAGGACCTGCACAGGGGACAGAGTCCTTCATCCCCTGGGACCAAACCTCAATCCTTCCCTGGCCCCAAGCCAAGCTGGGCAGTTGGAACCCTACAGAGATTTTGACCACAGCCCTTTCCCACAGAGGACAGAGCAGGGCATGGAGAAATGCCCCAGGAGCTCACACTCTGCTGGCCAGGCCCTTGTAAGCTCCATTTAAACTCAAGAGCACCTGGCTCTGTGGAGAGCACCTTCCCATCAGCCTGTGGTCATTCCTAGCCTGAGGTAGCTCATGGCCCCTGGGGGCTTTGCACTGTGTACCTTAAAAATGTGTATTTCTCAGGGCAAATTTGAGAAGTTGCAATAGGAAAACAAAGCCAAAGGAAAACACATAAATCATGTGGCTTCTCAACAGGCCTTGGCTTCTCACATTCCCTCTCTGCTGCCACTGCAGAAAAGAACCAGTGGTAACATGCCTGCTGCAGCACTCGGAGTAACCCTGTGGTTTCCCAGGACAAGCTGCAGTGTTGGGTAATGGTGGGAGGGAGCAGAGCTCACACAGGATTCATTTCGCCTGACGTCTTAACCCACAGCAACAGCCAACACATGAAACTGTGCTTCCCTGTTTGTCCCAGTGACTCAAGGGTTGGTGTTTTCCAGTCCAGAGGGCTCTTGGGGTGCCAAGTGTTCCAGCTCCAGGCTCCACGGGCATGACTCCTGCCAGCTCGCTCCCTCCTGGGATGCCAAAAACCAGCAATACAAGCTGAAAAGGAGAATTTTCATTTTTCAGATTCCATCTGGGAATTTTTGGCAGCCCTGACAGCACTCAGGGGTGGTGGGTATGGTGGCAGATCTGTCCTTGGCAGGGGGGCCATGACCTGAGGGCAAGGGGGCACAGGCCAGCTGGAGGCCCCCAAAGAGCCTTGCAGGGACCCCAGGCACAGCAGAGAAGGCTGTTGGAGGGGGGCAATGGAGCCCCCTCCCCACCACCACCACCTCTATGTCCCCAGATCCTCTCTAGCAATAGTGCCAGGGAGAGCACAAAGGGACAGCCCCAAAGCACAAAGATTTTGAAAGAAGTTGTTCACATTTTTATTGCTTCTTTTTCTCCTGCAGTGTTTCATACCTGGGGTTTTTCCCCTCTTTCCTCACTTGAAAAATTCCTTCTGACCACGAAATAAATGTGAAAACAGTGGCTGGGGAGGGGGCTTGGGACTCTGTGGAGTGTGTGCCTGCTGGAACTTCTGAAAGTCCTCTTTAACCTCTGTGACTCCACCCTGAGCCGTTGCTGCTGAGTGCATTCTCTGAAGCCTCTCACTCACCCTTCGGACAGTATCAGCGTGGGAAATACTTGGAAACAGCGTGGGGACTCCTGGAAAGAGAAATCCTCCTGCCAGGCATTTTCGGCCAAGATGAAAAGCCTTTCCCCGGGGCCGTGCCTGAGCTCAGGGCTCTGAGCAGCAGCGCTGGGATGGAGGCAGAAGTGCCGAGGGCTGGAGTGGAGGAGCTCGGTCCGGGAACCGGGGGGCTGCAGCCCCGGGCCTGGGGGCTCACATCGGCCAGACCCGGGAGCGAGGGGAAGCACGGATTTGGCTCCAAAATCCAGAGCGGGAGGAGAGGCAGCTCCCTGCTCGAGGCTGCGCGGTGCAGAGCGGGGATGGAGCGCTGGGGCAGCAGGAGGAAGCGCCCCGTGGGGAGGGAGCAGAAGGGCTCCATCTGCTCCAATCCGAGCAGAGCCGACAGCAGCTCCATCGCGGTGTGTGAATTCCTTCACGGAGGGAAAACACAGAGAATCGAAAATCCCTTTAAGCCAGCAGAAAAAGGCAGAACAAGAAGGAAGAACCAGAAACCAAGACATTGACAAATACAATAAGATGCGCATTTTTCACAGGGGGTGATCGAAACCTGTGGGGGGAGGGTAGTGAGAGATGGATCTATTCATCCTTGTTGCTCTTGGAGACCAGGAACGTTAAGAGGAGTGAACATTCTGCTTCTCTCAGGTGTACAGAGGAGCTGACCCTAAGCACGACCCCTTCCCAGGACTGGCAGCACCCACCTGTGCCACAGGGTCCCCAGCAGAGCTCTGGGCCACAGGGTCCCTCTGTGCCACAGCGCGGCCCGGAGGGGCGCGGCCTCGGAGGGTGACACGGGCGCATCCACGGGAGGGGGGGACCAGGTATCAGGGCTGGGTGCAGATCAGGGGCCCCAGGGCAGGATGAGGGGCAGGACAGTCAGCAGGGATGGGATAGGGATGGGCATGGGGACAGGGATGGGAACGGGGATGGGCATGGGGACAGGCATAGGGTAGGGATTGGAACGGGGACCCCTAGGGATAGGAAAGCAGATGGGAATGAGGACAGAAATGGGAATGGGCACGGCATGAGGAGGGGAATGGGGACAGGGATGGAGACGAGGACAAGGACAGGAATGGAGACGGAGATAAGGATGGGAGCAGAGATGAGGACTGGGGCAGGCAGGGCTCAGCGACAGGGACCGAGGCTGCCCGGGGTGAGGGCGGACAAGACCGGGAGCAGGCGGCGGATACGAGGCCTGAGCCGTGGCCGCCGGGGAGGGCGAACAAAGCGGCGGGGCCGGGTGGGCGGGGAGGGGCCGGTGCGGGGCCCTCCCCGCCACGGGGGCATAAAAGCAGGGCGGCGGCGGCGGCACGGGGAGCGGAGCGGGCACGATGCAGCTCGGCGGCGCGGCGCTGCTGCTGTGCGCGGCGGGGCTGGCCGCGGCCCCCGCGCCCGCACCGGGAGCCGGGCCCGAGCGGCGGGCGGCGGCGGGAGCCGGGCGGGAGCGGCGGGCGCAGTTCGCCTCCTGGGACGAGGTGAACGTGCTGGCCCACGGGCTGCTGCAGCTGGGGCACGGCCTGAAGGAGCACGTGGAGCGCACCAAGGGCCAGCTGCGGGAGCTGGGCGGGCGGCTGAGCGCCCACAACAGCTCCCTGGGGCGGCTGCTGCGGCAGGCGCGGGAGGCGCAGGAGCGCGGCGAGCGGCTGCGGGGCAGCGTGCGGGAGCTGGAGGGCCGCGGCCGGCAGCTGCTCAACCTCTCCGAGGCGCTGCGGCAGCGGCTGGAGGAGGTGGCGGCTGACAAGGACGCGATCCAGGGCCGGCTGGAGCGGCTGGAGGGCCGGGTCCGTCTGGCGCTGCAGGCGCGGCCGGCCGGGAACCAGAGCGCTCGGGACCTGGGGGCGCTGCAGGTGAGCGCGGGGGGCACTTCGGGGGGAGCCGGGTGGAGAGGACTCGACAGGGCCCTGCACCGGCACCAGCGGGGAACGTTGGTGGGGGGACACACCCCAGACCCGCTAGAGAACACCGGGAACGACTGTGGGAAAGACCTGACTGTCCCGGGACAGCGTCAGGAGAGCAGAGGGGTCTGGGGGCACCGGGAGCGCCCTCCCGGGGGTCTCGCCCAGCCAGAGCTCCCTGGAGCGATGGGGCTCACCTGGCTCTTCCCTCGCAGTCCCTGATGGATGCTCAGAACCTGCGTATTGAGGAGCTTCTGCAGAAAATCAAGCAGCAGCAGTACAAGCTGGACAAGCAGAACCTGCAGATTAAAAGCCTGCAGAGCAAGGTGAGCCCCTGTCCTGTGCTGCAGCCCCCAGCCTGGCCCTGCATGCCCTGGGTACCCTGGTGTGACACCCCTGCCGTGCCAGTTCTGGTGGCTGTGCTGGTGCTCCCTGGCCTTGGGGACTCCAAAGGGGCCAGGGCTCTGGTCCCCGTGCTGCAGGGGATCATCAGTGTGTGAGGGCAGCAGCCTGCATGCTTCCAGAGAGTTTGTATGGAGCAATAGCAGGAACTGGTGGGTGGGAATAGCCTCCCTGGGCTCTGCCTTTGCATTCATCTGCAGAATAAACTAGCTAGCATGGGTGTGAAAAACCACAATTGCTTCTGGCTTTGCCAGGACTGGGTATCTCCTGTTCCTCGAGGTTTCTAGGCAAGTTTAGCCACAGCTCTGGCCATGGGAGGTGGCTGGTGTGTGGCTGATCTGCTCCCCTGAGTAATGGAATGGGAAACAAGCTGAGATAAAACCTTTCTGACTCGTGCATTTTTTTTTTTAGGTCAATCTACTAATTCCCCTACACCACAACAAAACACAGCCTCCAAAGTGGAAGATAAACCTGAAGAAGAGCCTCAACCTCACCAACCAGAGTCAGAATGGCAGTGGGGAGCCCCTGCAGACACAGAGTGAGTATCTGCTTGTGCTGCCCTGCTTGTCCATGCCAGAGCAAACCTGTAGCAGGTGCAAGCTTTTGGAAACAAAAGGTTCATTTGTCCTGAGCAGGATGTGAGATTTGCTTGAAAAGCTGGAGCTTGGGAATATGGCCAGAGTGAGGGTATCTGGAGCACAGGCAGAATCCTTGTCTTCTGGGCCAGTGTTAGTCCAGCAGGAATTTAAGGATTAAAGAGGCTTTTTGCTCCCTGTTGTTAGGCATGCAGTGGGAAGCAGACAAAGCCTGAGACCAGGTATTTGTCAAAAAGGACTGGCAGGTGTGGGGTGAGGAGGGAAGGGTCTCAGCTCTTTTCAGTTAACTCTTGTTCACACCAGGCAGTGAAGTGTCTTTGCTGTCTGTGGGAGGAGGGTAGGGTTTAGGGAGGCCTGGCCTGAGAGCAGAGCTGTGTGCTTGTGTATCTCTCTCTCCCCCTTGGCTCATATTCAGAGCTCCTGTATGAAGCACAAGTGTCTCAGCTTGTACTCTCCCTGGCTGAAGGTGCTGAATTGCAGTGGGTGCTCACAGCGCTGGGAAATGTGCGTTGGAGCAGGAGAGTGGATGCTGCCATCTGCAGCTCCTGGCTCTGCCTGGAGCATCTTCTGCCCTGGCAGCAGGACTGGAGGGGCTCCTGCAGAGCAGAGGGCAGCAGAGCAGGTGTCCCCAGCTGTGCCATGCCCTGCAGCCTTCCTGCAGACAGGAGCTGATGTCCCTGCAGGGGTTGCTGGCCAGGAGCAGCTGCTGTCATGCTGTGTCAGCCGGACCACAGGGCTGCCTCTGCCTGTGCTGCTGTCTAGGGATCTTCACAGGAGCCAGGCAGGATGAGGAGGCATGAGGAATTCCTGCTCAGGGCCTGGCCTAGCAGGGATGGTTATGGGAAAACACATGATAACTTGTCTGCAGAGCCTGGAGCTGTCACTGGTGTGTCTGAAAGCTGGTTGGGCAGAACAAAAGGCTTGTCCACATGGACAAGAAGAGAAGTGGAATGTGGGGCTTCAAACTCTTCCAGGGTGCAGTTCAGTGGGGCTGTGCAGGGTCAGCCTTACTCAGAGCAGCACTTCTGAGCCAGAAAACTCTCTCAGAACTTCTCTCTCCTGTTTTTTTCCAAGCTCTGCTTTGTGACTTGCCTGCAGTAGTGTGTGTCATAGAATAGTTTGGGTGGGAAGGGACCTTTAGAGGTTATCTAGTATAACCCTTGATTCCACTCTTGGGTTATGCTGGGAGAAGGGCTGGGACTTTGCTACTTGCTGATGCAGATGTAGGACATTCTGGCTGACACTGGCTACAGAAATGTTTGTGATGCATAGTGGAAGGCAGCAGGAACTACAGCCCCCACGGATGCTGTGTGAGCTCAGCACCTTCCAGTGCCGCTCTGTCCCTGTTGGAAAGACCCAGGACACGCCAATTCTGTCCCACCAGCTGTGAGCTTCCCCTTTCCTTGCCTAATCCCTGATGTTGGTATCACTGACAGAAAACAAATTGGCTTCCTTTCATTATCAAGTCAAGTGAGTTTTCTGGCAAATCTTAAAGCACACAGGCTGGCCCTGTGCCCTCTGCCCAGGGGGACCTGTGGCTGCTGTCAGAGCTGGGCAGAGCTGGCGAGGCTGTGCCTTTTCTGGCAAGTCTCAAAGCAGGCAGGCTGGCCCTGTGCCCGGGGGACCTGTGGCCGCTTTCAGAGCGGGGCAGAGCTGGTGAGGCCGCGCCGGCGGCTCCCGGCCATGGTCGGGCAGAGCCCGGTGCCGGCGCGGCCCTGGGGAGCAGCGATGAACTCCACCAGCAGCCCTTGCAGAAAGACCCTTTTATTTGCATCCAGTGAACACAAGTTTTTTCAGAGCAGAACTGGCATAGGGCCAAGCATGTGAAAGTTGAAGGCTCAAAGCTGCCTGGAGAGTGAGAGGTTTAATAGCTTGCAGAAAGAGGATCACGTCTTTGGGCAGAGCCTGTGCTTGCTGGCAGCCAGCCGAGTAGGGGAAAGGTGGAGCCCTGCTCACGCTCTCCTGGTGGCGCTGAGACTCCAAAATAATGGGGCTGGGTTGGGGCGGGAGAGGGGGAGGCAATGCAGGCAGCTCTAGGCATGCCCTGCTGTCCCTGAGGATGGTGTTTATACCAGGTTAGTGACCTCCCTTGTGTCATGGCTGGAAATCCTGTTGGGTGAACACAGAGCCTAAGGCAGATCCAGCCTTGTTGTGTTGCTTGGCTAAATAAAGGGGGAGGGAAATGGAAACACAGGAGCAGCCAGGAGGGCTTGTTCTGCTGGTGCCGTTTGGATGTGCAACGTGAACTGGAACTAACAAGCATGTTCCTCAAACAAAAAGATTGAGCAGAGGCTGTTCAAGCAGCTGCATCTTGTTCAGCTGCTGGAGAGTCCCTGTGGCACCAGGGGAACAGGGATTGAGTGCAGCCAGAGCCCAGAAATGAGAAACAGGCAGGGATGGAGTTGACTTGTGCATGCTGGGACTACCGAACATCTGCCTGGCGCCATCCCACCAACGCTGGGAGATGCAGTGAGATGAGGAGGTGAGGAGCTTGGCAAGCCCAGCACCTTCCTGCTGTGGCAATGTGAGCAGGGGCCTCTGGCTATGGTGTTCCTTCCTCTGAGCCTGGTTTGCTTCCCTGCCTTTGCCCTTCCCCACCCAGAAAGTGGGGATATTCAGGATGCACTCAGCCCCTCCTGCATTGCTTGGGGGGGCTTTGTGTGGTTTTGATCCTTGATGCACAATGCCCTCAGTCCCTGTGTCATGGGTTTAGGGTAGGGCTGTGGCACAGCTTGTCCTGTGGTGCACTGATGGTGGCACCAGTCCTGCCCTGGCATTGCCCTGGGGATGTGCTGGCTGTGGGAGAGGGGCTGCCCCTGCCAAGGAGGGGAAATTTTGTGGGGAGAGAGGAAGGAAAAGAGAGGAATATGTTGGAAATGGGTGAAAGGTGATGGCAGGTGTCATTTTTCTGTCCCCTGGGTCCCCCCTGACCTTTCCTCCAGCTGGAGCTCTGCTCTTCACCCCAATGCAGTGTCAAGACTCCCCAGCACCCAGTGAGGATGGTATGGGGTGATGCTCTGCAAGGGCTGCTTTTACTCTTGGCAGTTCAAAGGCCCTTTTTCCCCCCTTCCATCTGCCCCCAGGGAGCCCCTGGCTGTTGGAGGAAGCTCTTGTCCTTGCTGCTGCTCTGGATAGTGGTGTCAGCCCTGACCCTGGGGCAGCTACTGTGAGGAGACCCCCACAGCCAGCACCCCAGCACAGCCCAGGGCTTGTCTTGGGGTTTCTTGTCTGTCTCAGGGTCATGCCGGCAGCAGCTGTGAGCCAGGGTAGCCAAAGCTACAACCCATCCACCCTGGCCTGGGGAGAACAGGGCCCCTTTGTCTGGGGGTGACTGGGGCACCTGTCCCTGCTGACAAAGAGCCCCTTGACTGTGCAGCAGCCTGGGGCTGAAGTCCCTGCACATCCTTCTGTGGCCTTTTGACTCGGGTGTTGTAACAGGTTCCCTCTGCCTCATCTCTCCCAAGTGCTGGGAGTGGTGGTTCCTGGATGGCCTTTTGTCAGAGCTGTTGAAATGGTGCTTTGCTGGCAGCTCTGGGCAAAGTCCCTGTGAGGCAGAAGGAGCAGTGGGAGCCCCTGGGGATGGAGGAGGATGAAGAAGGGTGTGGCTTCACCCTGGGCAATCCACTCCTGCAATGAGCTGGGGCTCCCAGAGTCCACCCCCCCTCCTTGCCTCAGTCAGTGTGTCTTGGAAAAAGGGTCACCCCAGCCTGGCACTGTGCCTGCTGGTGGCAGGCTGCCCAGCAGGATGTCTGTCTGCCACCACCACAGTTGCTGGGAGAAAGAGGTCATGTGCTGGATGCTCAGCCACCTTCCTGATGTCAGGACTTTGCCTCTGAGGCCCCTTGACCCTACTTCAGCCTCGTGTGGGATGGGGATACTTGGCCCTGGCATTGCCCCACCCCAGACAGGCCACTCCTGTCTGTGAGTGTAGAGGGACCTGGGAACTCCTCTGTCCTTCCTTGATGGGGAGCCCTGCTCTCCAGCTGAGGTCACTCCAGCCTGGCCCAAAGCCTGGCTTCTGCCTTGGATGAAAGCCCAAGGAGCTCTGTTTGAATAAAAGGGAAGATGTGGGGTCACAGTGTTTAAAGATGCTGAAGTCAGGGGCCGTTGTCCCCAGCACGTGTCCAGAGCTGCAGCCATGCTGAGCACAGCTGGCTGGGCTCGTGGCCAGGGCTGCAAGTGCTGGGCCTGTGGTGGGAGCAACCTGCTGAGGAAGTGGGGCTCGTGGCCATCTCCTCAGTTGCTGTTTCCTTCCCCTGCAGGGCTCCCAGAGGGTTGCCACCAGCTCTTCCTGGCTGGGCAGCGGAGCAGTGGCATTTTCCAGGTACAGCCCACAGGATCTCAGCCCTTCAAAGTCTACTGTGACATGAGCGCAGGTAAAGCCGTGCAGCGTCCCGGGCACTTGGCAGGGTGGCCTGGTCAATGGCAACCCCCCGTGACTGTGTTTTCCCTTCCCACAGAGGGTGGCTGGACAGTGATCCAGAGGCGCATGGATGGCTCTGTGGACTTTGACCAGCTGTGGGATGCCTACAAGAATGGCTTTGGAGACCTTCGTGGTAGGTGGATGATGGTGTCTATGTTCTCACTGTGGGATAAGGGAAGCTCAGCAAAAGGGATTCCCCTTGCTGGTCTCTGGAGCTCTCTGTGCTGGAGCACAGTTGTGGACTGAAGGGTGGGTGGGACAGTGCTTGCAGAGCAGGGGTCCTTGATCTTCCTGATGTGTCCTGCAGGTGCCAGACAATGATTCAAACAGTGCAGTGTCCTAGGTTTTCCCTGTTTGTCTCTGGAGCTTGCTCGTATCTCTGCTTTTCATGGCATGTTTGTGTCCCTGCAGCCAAAGTCATGAATCTTATTTCAGGTGACTTCTGGCTGGGCCTGGAGAAGATACATCGCCTTGTCCAAGAGGGAAAATACAACCTCCTGATTGAGCTGGAAGACTGGGAGGGGAATTCCCAGGTGGTTCAGTTTGTCTTCAGTCTTGGTGGTGAGAGCACAGCCTACACACTCAACCTGCTGGGGCCTCTGTCTGGAGAGCTGGAAAACGCCATTGGGGAATTCAGGCAGCTGCCCTTCTCCACTCGGGATCGTGACCATGACCTTAAAGCTGACACAAACTGTGCCAAACACCTCTCAGGTCAGTCTGAGGTTTTCTATCCCAGTATGTACACTTCCCTTTCAGCCCTCCACTATCTGGTAGTGCTCCAGTGGGACCCAGACCCTGTGGCACTAGACCCCTTTGCTGTTGAGCTGGTCTTGTCCCCTGGGACAGCTGCTTCTTTGCGAAGAACTGTGCAGGGAACCAAGAGGGAAGCTGAAGCTGAGGGAGGGTTCATGATTCAGGTCTTGGCCCAAGCATCTGTCCTCGTAACAGCTTTGCTGTCTGCCACTTTGCATGGAACCTTTTCAAGCAGAGCAGAGGCCCCCCTCAGCCTGGCTGCTGAAGGGTTTTGCACACAAGGAGCAGACACAGCCTGAAGTCATGTCAGACCTGTGGGAGGTTCCCCAGTACACGGGACTCCTTGGCTGTACATGAGGCAGTCTTTTAAGATCCTGAAGCTCTAGAAAAATAGGGGAAATAGGGGCATCAGCTGCATTGAACCTAGCTTTTTCTGTCTGGAATTTCGAGAAGTTAAAATTATCCCTTTGTTGCCCTTGTAGGTGGCTGGTGGTTCAGCACCTGTGGCCATGCCAACCTCAATGGGAAGTACTTCCGCTCCATCCCGCGGCAGAGGCACGAGCGCAAGCAGGGCATCTTCTGGAAGACATGGAAGGGCAGGTACTACCCCCTGAAGTCAACCATCATGAAAATCCAACCTGCAGCACTGGAAGCGGAGCCCTAAAGTTTCTACTTGAGACTTTCTCTGTGGAGCATGGACCTGAGCTCCATCACTCGGTGTTTACAGAAAACAACCTCCCCTTCCTAGGTTAGAAGCCCTTTAGAGGCACAACACTGCTCCTCACTAAAAGTAAAACAGCTCCACGTTGCCAGAACCTCTGGATGGGAGTTTCCAAACCTGAAGAGGAGTCCCAGGAGGGAGATCCACCTCCAGAGCATGCACAAGGGTTTTCTGACCTGCCATGTGCTGCTGCAGAAGTTGAAATTGTCCGGTGCTTTCTATCCTGTCTTAACATTTCTGTACTGTGTTGATGAGCTGGGCCTGGGGCAGGAGGGGCACAGGAAGTGTCTCACTGCTCTGGACCACAGCACTGGGTATGGAGTCTTGCTATATGTCCTGTCTTTCACTGTTGTTGCCAAATGATGTCCCAGGTACCCCCTGTGAGAGCCCCTGGAGCCTCCTGTGCAGGGGCTGGGGGCAGTGAGCCTCAGGCAGCTCCATCTGTGCAGCCCCTGCCCCCTGAGGTGCAGGGCTTGGTGGGAAAGCTGAGAGTGACCTGTGCGGAAGGGGGGACCTCAGGCTCACTTGCCTTCCCTTTGAAGACCTGTATTTCTGGCTGTGCTGGAATTTGCTGGGAGCTGGGAAAACTGCTTCCAGCTCTAAGGTTGTTGGGTGAGATCCTGCAGCTGGTTGCCTGAGGGGCCAGGTCCTGGCGAGCTCTGCCTGCCAGTGCTGCTGGGGGTGGGTAGGACAAGCAGTGGGACAGCACAGACCCAAAGCAGTGACTGTCCCTGGGTGGCACCAGCCTTGCTGTCACTGTCAGCGCCCCAGAAGTAGGGGCTGCCTTCCTCCACCAGACACCTCACAGTTCACAGAGTGACCGGACCTGTCCTGCATCTGTGTCCCCAGTACTACAAAGCCAGGGGCCAGCAGGGTTTCTCTGCAAGAAGCCACATTTCATTAGGTGTGTACCATGATGTATGGCATCACCTCTGCCTTTGGGGTGGGTGTCTGGGGAGATGTGGCCAAAACAGGTCCCTGAAAACTTACAGGCCAAGCTACAGTCTTGGGGCTTCCCAAGCATCCTGCCCTATTGAAGTCATATTGACTACTGTGCTAGAGCTCCTAGCTGCTAAATACTGTACATAGTTGTTTGTAGGATGTTGGACTCGTTGATGAATTCTCTGTTTCAATTTGTTTTGATATTTAAATGCAGTGTTAATAACAATGTGGTGTAATTTATAAATGTCGATGCTGGAAAGGAAAGCAAGTGTAGTTTGTGTATTTTAAACATTTTTTGTACTAAAATATCTTTTCTGAAGATGTCTTTTAATAAAAGCAAGCCTTTAAGTGTCCTGCCTTGATTATTTTCCTGATGGTTTACCTGTGGCAGGTGTGTGGGAGCATTGTGATGAGTCTGCATTTGAAAACTTTATTGGAATTGTGACCTAAGCACTCAACTCCCTTCTGGCCTCCATGTTCAGCTGTAGCCTTATGAAATTCTGATAAATTGCTGGTATAGGGCCCAGCAGCAGGTTTTAATCTGCTTGAAGTTTATGGGCTTCTAAATTTCTTTTCTTCCTGGAAATTAGACTGTGGGGCAGCAGCTTTTTAAGTGCTGATGTGTTGGGTTTCTGGCAGACCTTTGAAGGAAGGGGACATTCCTTGGAGGTGGCTGGGAAAGCCTCTGTCAACTCTTTGAAAATGAGCAGAGGCTGAAGTCTGGATAATCCAGGCCCAACAGAGTCAGCTGATCAGGGCAAGCCCCACTAAATAACAGCCCTTTAGCTGCTCGTAACACATCTGTGTAGTCATCTCCAAAAGCATTTATTGTGACTTCTGTAGGGGTGATTATAGATGTGGGAATGAGATGAGCTGGGGATGGAGCAGGGATCTTTAAGGTGATGGGGGTAAATTCCTGCAGTGCTCCCAATCCTGTCTATATTTTTTCCTCCAGCTCCAATATACTAGAGCTGGAGAAAATCATAGGTGCTTGCTTGCTATACAAGGAAGGAAGAGGAAAAGCTGCTTGGAAGGAAGAAGAGATGAGACTGGTCTAGTCCCCTGAGCAGCTCTATAAATACCTAATGTACCTAAGTGTGGCCCCAGCTCCCACATCTGTCCTGCTTCCCTGGGGGAAATCCCAGGGCTGATGATAGCTCTAAGCACAACTGTGCAAACAGCCCATTATGCCCAGCTCTGTGCTCGCTCCTGCATTCAGAAATGCATTTTTAATATTCTCTTTGCTTAATTCAAAACCTGCTTAGTCCTTGAGTGCAGCAGCAGATACTGGAGTGCATGTTTTAGTCTGGATGCTAAAGTGATGAGACTGAGGTGGGATTTATGCATCAAATAGAAGCTGGGGAAGGAGCTCTTCTGTAGTTTTTTTTGCAGACTTAGGGTTTGCTCCCCAAGTCTTTGTGGTGCATTTGATCTACAGGGGGTGCCTGGTGGATGATACCAGCCAGTACCAGACACCATCCAGGGTTTAGTAAATGCCAAATGGGCAAATGCCAATTGCCCTAAATCTTGCCCATCCTAGGAATCACAGATTTTCCTTTTCTGTGTGTCTCAGTCTTGCCTGTTCTGCTGCACAAGTCCCCACATTCCATCAGCGTCGGTGCCACCCATGCCCCAGGGCCATCGGAGCCACACTGGAGCATGTGGCATCCTCGGGCCCCTTCAAGCTCCCTCTGCAAGAAGCCAGGTCTGTATCTGTTTTCATCTAAAATCCTCCACCTCTTTGCTTTTTAACAACCACTTCAGCTGCAGTTCGTGGAAACATCTCGGAGCTGCCTCAGGGCTCCCTCCAGCGCCAGCCCGAACACAGCGCTGCCCGAGCGCAGCTCCGGCAGGAACGGCCCCGAGCGGCCCCGAGCACAGCTCCGGCAGGAACGGCTCCGAGGGCAGCTCCGGCAGGAACAGCTCCGAGGGCAGCTCCGGCAGGAACGGCTCCGAGGGCAGCTCCCGCAGGAACGGCCCCGAGCGCAGCTCCCGTAGGAACGGCCCCGAGCGCAGCTCCGGCAGGAACGGCTCCGAGGGCAGCTCCCGCAGGAACGGCTCCGGCAGGAACGGCTCCGAGGGCAGCTCCGGCAGGAACGGCTCCGAGGGCAGCTCCCGCAGGAACAGCTCCGAGGGCAGCTCCGGCAGGAACAGCTCCGAGGGCAGCTCCGGCAGGAACGGCTCCGAGGGCAGCTCCCGCAGGAACGGCCCCGAGCGGCCCCGAGCACAGCTCCCGCAGGAACGGCCCCGAGCGCAGCTCCCGTAGGAACGGCCCCGAGCGCAGCTCCGGCAGGAACGGCTCCGAGGGCAGCTCCCGCAGGAACGGCTCCGGCAGGAACGGCTCCGAGGGCAGCTCCGGCAGGAACGGCTCCGAGGGCATCTCCCGCAGGAACGGCCCCGAGCGCAGCTCCGGCAGGAACGGCCCCGAGCGGCCCCGAGCACAGCTCCCGTAGGAACGGCCCCGAGGGCAGCTCCCGCAGGAACGGCTCCCGCAGGAACGGCCCCGAGCACAGCTCCGGCAGGAACGGCCCCGAGCGGCCCCGAGCACAGCTCCGGCAGGAACAGCTCCGAGGGCAGCTCCGGCAGGAACGGCTCCGAGGGCAGCTCCGGCAGGAACGGCCCCGAGGGCAGCTCCTGCTGTTCCCAAAGCAGCCGTGCTCCTGCAGGGGCCGGGACCTGCTGTGCCACCCGGCACTTCACGAGCCCCCAGCAAAACCCCAGTGAGGGCTGCTGTAAGGGCTGCTTCTGAAGGTGGGGATGGTGTAAGACCAAAGGCTGCAGGGTCTGGACATGGTGGGATGGGGTTTTTGGGGCCAGCAGCACTGAGGGATAGGCTGGAGCTGTGCTCCAATGGGTGGCACTGAGCTGGCGTGCCTGCCCCTCAGTGCCGAGCTTGGAGCCGTCAGTAGAAGAAGATTGTCCCGGGATTCTCACAAAGCATCATTAGATCAAGATGACGTTTTGCATCAGGCACCAATATCTCAAGCCAGCTGTGTTTGTGGCCCCAAAAAGTGAGGATAGGCTCAGCCTGATGCACAGAGCTCCCTCTGAACAGTAACAACAGCCATCGAGAGATGTGACAGCAGAGCCTCAAGCTCTTTTTCATTCTTCAGTGGAAACCAAATCGTTATTTGGCAAAAAGGGAAGGTGTTTGTGTGTACACAGCTGCACCAGCTTGGAAGGGCAGGCTGAACCCCTATATCCATGGCACCAAGGTGCTGGAGTGAGTAAGCCAGAGGCATCACCCGAGCCCCCCACCACCAGTGTAGCACCACAGCAGGGGTACAAACCCAAAAAAGGCAAAATGGCAGATCCCCAGTGAGAGCAGAAACCTGCCACACAGCCAAGGAAGAGCAAACTGGAAGCAAGAGAAAAGTTCCCCACCCACCAACACTCTCCAGACACCCCCAGCCCAGCACTCAGCCTCACCAGCACTAGCAAGGGTCACACTTTCAAAGTCATCCCCTGGCTCCCAATGCCTCAGGGTGCCTGGCAGATGCAGGGATGCCAGGAGCCTTCCAGTCCTCCCAGTAGCTTCAGCTCTTCTGCTGGAGCTCAGCAGCACTGAGCACAAATTGAGTTTCTTGTGGACATGCCAGGCAGAGCTTTGCACCTGCACCTTTGCCAGGAACACCTCTCAAGCAGAGTGTTCTGGGGTGGCTCCTTGAGGATGCTCATGGACTCCTGGGGCTCCAGATCCCACTAAGAGGGTGGGAAAGGGAAATCCTGGCTCAAACATCCAAGCAGGTGTCTGTGTCTCTGGGACACTGCAGGGGTTGAGGCTCTCAGGGCAAGCTTCAGCATCTCAGGTGATCATTTTGAGCAAGTTTCTATCATGTTCGAAAAAGAAGCAGATGGCATAGACAGCTCTTCAGGGTGTGTACCCCAGCAGAGTTTAACAAAATGTTTGGGGCTAGCAGGACCCCCGCTGGCTGTTGAGGAGCACAGGCAGTGCAGGTGGCTCAGTGGGATGCCCAGAGGGGCATTAGACTGGTCAGAAAGGTTTCCTTAATAGTTTGTCGATCCAGGTGGGACCCACAGGCCACTACCTTTGGAGTCTTCCTTCTCCAAGCACCCAAATGGGGCTACCAGGTGAGTTCACCTGCATCTTTGGAGCAGGGAGGAGCCTGAGCATGGCTGTTCAAATTCCCTGAGCACATTCAATATAAACGCTAAGGGTGGACCTGGGCCCCTCTGTTGGGGCATCATTTTGTTCAGATTTGGTGTCACTCTTGCAGGGATTGGAGCCCCACGGGAGGCACACACAGAAGGTGGTAAAGTGTATTCTTTTTAGCGTGTAAAAAGGTGGTTCAAGTACCCTCTTAGTGCTTGAAAAGGCGGGACAAGAAGCGCTGACAAGAAGCCGCCCTTGGCCGAGGCTGTGCAGAACAGTCCCCACTGCGCCGGGCGCGCATCCGCGGCCTCGGGCAGCGCCGGGAGCGGCACCAGCGCGGTGGGGCCGGAGCCGGGGCCGCAGCCCTGCCCGACCGGGCCCCTGCGGGGACTGAGGGCGCTCGGTGGGCTGTGCTGAGCTGGGCTCGGAGGAAAA